GATTTTTATTGGTGAATGTATATTTACTATGAAATTTCTCGTTATTCAGGTCAGTAATGTGTAATTTATACTGTTTAATAATAATAATAATAAAAAAAAACAGAGCATTTACTTACATAAATTGTATCTATCAAAATAACGATTAAACAGAAAATATATGTTTTTTTTTGTTTCCAATAATAAATGCCAAGGAGATTTCTCATGCATTTATTCTCAAACACTTGGAGCCTTCTCTCTGTATCTGCCAACAGTATCCACGTTTCACATCCATAGAAGAGAACGGAGACTATCAGCGATTTGTACATCTGTATTTTGATTTCAGGCTGATTTTGTTCCTCCATATATTTGTCAATTTGACCAACGATGTCATGGCTGCAGCAATCCGTATATGGGTTTCCGCGTTGCAGGAACCATACTGGGACAATATTGCAACTAAAAAATCATTCCCTCTTCAATAAATCAACAAAGTTTTGCGGCAATTTTACATTGAGATTTTTGTTGTTGATTAATTTTAACAGATTCAACAATATGGATACAAATCAGTGAATTTTATATATATATATATATATATATATATATATATATATATATATATATATTAGCAAAACAAATTCACGGATTTGGTCAAAAAAAAAAGACCCCAGAATAACCTCAAAACCCACGATCATTTCATGCTTTAATAGTTAATTGTACTTAGTTTAATTTGCAAATGTAGGTAGAAAAAACAAATTTTGATAAGATAGTGTGAGTCAAAAACCACTGCCAAAGTGGGGATTTTAGCGGTAGTACGCTCCTGCCCTGGAGAAATAAGAAAATTATAGTCGAGAGATGCATATATTAGATTTTCCATTTCAAAACGAAAACCGTTGAAATAATTATTGCATAATTTATATATTCTGTAGTTGAGATGAGCTGAATAGTAAATATACACTAAGTCTGTCTCGTAATATTTGTTATTTATTAAACTTATCTTTGTTTGGCACAAAGTCTCAAATATGGCCTCCCAACAGATGTCAAAACGACTGTTTAATCGTAATGATCAATTCGTTAAAAATTACCCCATCCCAAATCAGTAAGCTTCGTATGACGTCAAAATCAGTGAAAATTTCTCATCCTTTAATAGTCAGTTGCTTTTAGTTTAATTTGTAAGTAGAAAAGCAATTAGATAAGATAGCTAGAGTCACAGTGCACTGCCCACGGCTCTTAATCAGGATTGCCCTGTATGGGATTCTGGGGTACTACGCACCGAGCTTACTTACAGTGATAGTCATATTCGGCAACAAAGTAGCCGCTATCATCATGTATGATTACATCACAAATACACGTACATATGTTCGTGCATATACTAGATGTATAAAGAAGAAAACATATTAGTGCGCATCTATGGTCTGAATATACTTTTGCGTGCATCCTATATAAACGTATTCTTTTAAATAAATGACAATTAGGTTTAACATGTGTATAATATTGCATGTGTCTAATTTTGGAACTTTTTCTCTGCGTGTATATTTTGCATGAAATACTATTATTATTTTTTTTTCCTTTTACACATTACCATCGAAACTACATGCGTCTTTTTGCTATTTTAACGTCGCTCAAGGTGTGCAGGATATGAAACTACAAAGAAAGAAAGAAAGAAAAAAAGAAAGAAAAAAGAAAGAAAGAAAAATAAGAAAATACGTGTATGCCCTGCAGAATACTGACAAACAAATTTTACAATAAATGACAAAGATAAAACGTACAATCATTGCGTTCAACAACAATAGAAGCATAAGCAGTTCTTTAATAAAATGAAAAGATAGAAAGACATTATGAAATAACTTAAAAGGAACAAAATGCAAGAATGCAATCGAATATGTGCC